AACGTAAAGCCGTATTTTTCACCCATGAATTTACTCCTGCAGTGACAGGATTCGATGTAAGATTTTAACTGCGTGGTCATGGCAAATCCTGGGACTGCCAATGTTTCCTTTAAGGGTTCATCCAAATCTTGGGTGAAAAAAATATCCCTGGTGCCAAGGCTGTTGGCTATTGCACGAGATGGCACAGTGCTCTCTGCAGGGTCCCTGTCACAATGAACACAGAGCCATGTTGCCACTTCCCTTTTCGTTGCCAGGCCGCCAATTTAGTGCAGGAACGCCATTCCTTCTAAGTAATGTCAAATTGAGAAAATTTCCAAGAGCCACTCTTTATATAGTTTCCAGATTTTGTCTCTGAATATAGTTTCTCCAAGAGATGTGAAGACTCAAATTTATACATGACAGTCCCCTGTGGAAGCTGAAACCTGACTTGGCTTAAGCAATTTTCAGGGTTATTAGCAGAACGAACATCCCCTATACCCGTTACCAGAAATTGTTTCCTTAGTCTTCCTTACAAATCAAGCAATTTACTATTCAAGAGGAATACTTTCCTTATTTTGTCATTAAAAAAAAAAATCAAGATATAAAAATCTTTGATTTTTAAGTTCAAATTCATCGCCCCTGCAAAAAAAATCTTTTAGTGAAACATACCATGTTTCCCCGAAAATAAGACCTACTTGCAGTTTTGCCTCACTGAAATATAAGGCAACTCCTGAAAATAAGGCCTCCCCCAAAATAAGGCCCCCCCAAGCTAACGTTAACTCTGGACTGTAGCGGTGGGCGCCACCGTGCAGCTCACTGTTGGCGGCTGTGCAGCTGGAGCAGACAGGAAGTACGAGTAAATGTGCCATAGGTTGTTGTACATGGAAATAATGGTAGTAAGAAATTCTTGATACTGTAGGATTCAGTTTGTCTAGTTATGCTGATTTGTGATGACAACTACTACCATACGGTATACAGGTAATTAATTTCCTTTTTTGTTGTTCAACAATGTGTACCGTATTTTTCATGGAAAAATAAGGTATTCCCCTGAAAATAACACCTAGCGCATCTTTGGGAGCAAAAATTAATATAAGGCACTGTCTTATTTTCAGGGAAGCGGTACTTACACACACATAAAGTATACCTAAGTTGCTTTAAGTTCCTGGCTTTCTTTCAACAAGCTTACTACATAACTCTGTATGTGGAGTAATGCCGGTCTGGCCATCCATCCTGGTTCATTTTCGTTAAAGGGTTTCTAACTATGCGTATGTGTGCACATTTAGATACATATGAGGTACCCCCCACCCCAACCAGAATTTTTCTCAGAGCTATGTATTTAAATTTTTTTACAAAACCACTTTACCACCTTCAAAGTACTCTCTCTATTACACACAATACATTTGTCAAATCTGCAATTCTTGGAAACATTTCAAACTCATCTTTTTGGATGGCTGACAGCACCTCCTTTTTTTCCCACCTCTACTTCGTCAAATCGCCGTCCTTTCATGTTCCTCTTCATTCACGGAAACAAAAAGAAGTCTCACAGAGGTGAGGTCAGGTGAGTCTGGTGCGTGGGGCAAGAGAGACATGCCCAAAACTGGCGCACTGAGATGGCTGACTGAGCAGGTGCACTGTCGTGGTGGCAAAACTAGTCCCCGGTCTGCCACACATCAGGCCTTTTATGTCGCACACTGTTACACAATCTTTTCAGAACCTCTAAATAGAAAGCTTGATTAAGTCTGACCTGGTGGAACAAACTCCATATTCACCACGAGTCAAAATTTTTGTCCCTTCTGGAAATCAGATGTCTAGAACGAGGTTTGTAATCAATCAACATTTCATGTTTTTTGAAATGAGGAAAACTACTGTACACTTGAATTTTTCCCATAACACTGTCCTAGTAAGCTATCTTCTACATCACAAGATTCTGTGGCATTTTTTCCAAGGAGGAAACACAATTTCATGGCCACACGCTATTCTCTTAAATCGGTCATCACAAAAAAAGTAGGTTCTAGTGAAAACTTTTATGAAAAAATTCACCGTAACCAGAGAGAACCTTCCCAGGTGACGCCTCTGGGTGCACTCACTCAGTTGCCTGATGCTCGCCTCTCATGAAAAATGTGCACTATGAAAGCTGTGCTCTGTCCAGCACAATTCCTGTTTTTTAGGTAGCCCCTTGCATATGGATATACAAATTTATACCTCTGGGACAGCAGTACACACTGGTAAAGTTTAACCTCATTGTCTAAATGAAACATTAGGAATTTTGTTACATTTTACCTTTATGGCAACTTAAGCAAAAATTCATTGAAATCCAACTCTTATCCCCAAAGTGGAAAGGGTGGAGCTGTGGGAGCCGTGTACTTGGGTCTGCAATCCACAAGTCATCTGCATGGATGTGGAAACTTCCGGAGCAGCTGTGTGCACTGGGGAACACTGTGTGTACTGGAAGGAGACAGGTATGCAGTTGACAGGTGGGCCTCAGACTAAGCAGATACACACATTAAAAAAAAACAAAACCAATCCACACACAACTCATGGCCAATTCTCACAGGACAGCTTAGAACTGCCTCACAAGGTTTACAAGACTGTAAAACTTTACAGAAGCAAATCTTCCTCCCATAAACAGCAGGTGGGTTTGAACCCTCAGCTAACCTGTAGGTTAACTGCTGGGGTCACACAGCCCCTGCAACTATGCATCCCCCCAAACTTCATTGCCGACAAGTCTTTATCCGCTCATAGTGACCCTATAATAGAGCATGGCACTGTAAAATTGTCCGGGGGCATTTCTGAGACTCTTTACATGAAAAACTGCACACAGCGAACCACATTTGTAAGTTGAGGCCAAAAGGTTGACATGGTTAGGAGGCCCTCATTTGGAGGCCCAAAGCTGTGCCTTAGTTTTGAGCCTGCCAATTACAGCTTATGTAAGTTCACCAACGCCAATCTCCTCAAGATCTGCATGCTTCCTCTGTAAGGCTGGGATGCCGACATTCACCCCACTTCAAACGGGCGCTAATAGCAAAGAAGCTGCCATGTGTGGCAGAATCGCCTCTGATTAAACAGTAAGACCAGGGCATGCTCCTTTGGCAGCATTTACATGGTGTGACTATTTGCTTGTTTCTCCCTTAAACTGCTGTTGCAGCATTCTTCCACCCGTTAGTTCCAGGTAACCTTATCACCCCATTGGTTGAAATTTGAGGACAAATTGTAAACCAACTATTTCTTTAAAAGTATCCATTGCCGCAGCAAAGCAGGTAGCATTTTGCAAATAGGGCAAACGTGATCACTTTGAGTGTATAAGGGTCACAGCAGCTTGTATTAACGTGGCATTTACCACATGCTGGGCAGGGTCCTGAGTGCACTTATTCCTCGAAACCTCGGCACGGTTACTCCACCTGCAGACAAGGAGGCTGGTACACAGGGGTGCAGTCCCCAAACCCGAGCTCTTCACCACCGTCTTAGGGCTGTCTTCCGCAGGATCTGCCTCGTTCATACTAACAAGTGAGACCACTCCCAGGTGGAAGTTGTGCATTTTGATCCCAACTAGAAATTAGCCACCTGCTCTGGTGGTTGTCAACAAATTCTGAAGCTGGTTTACACACATTCATTCAACATTTTTCAATTCTAGGGGGTGTCTAAAGAGAAGAGGGAGGAGCAGAGAGGGGGTCTATGGAGATCAGCACATTCTAAGGAAATACAGCTAATTTGAATTGACAGACAAGTCATTGGCATTCTAAAATGGATGCAGCATTCCCAAAACCCAGGGACTAAAATTCGAATTTAAAAAATAGCTGCTAAACTTAAAGGTACTTTCAGAATTAGACTGTTGTGTCTTCAGAACACTGAGCTAGCTGCATTCAGGGGGAAAGGATCAGACAGCATGTGATCATTTAAACGGGGATTAGAGAAAGACGTGATAGTGTGACCTGAAAGGTGTCAACAAGGCTACCGACATTCACACCAACAGCAAGTAAGAACAGACCAACAATGTAGCGGGCCGTCGGTGGGCATCAGCACTGAACCAGGGCTAATGACATCATGTACCCAACAGTACTGCTTTAATGAGTCAAGATGAGACAGCAAAACAAAACACACTATGCTCTTTAAGTGTTTCACTGGAACACCTCACCGTTTTGGCTTCATGTAATGAGGTATTTGTAGAAGAAATTTATTTTGTTCACATTTTAGGTAACATTTAAATGGAAAGGGTTCTTTTAGGAGGAGGGGACAGTGGTGGGTAAACAAAAAAAGAACAGATTTGAGTCTTTATTTTTGGAAAACAAGCAAATACCTATCCCTTCCTGGCTTACACATTAGGAGAGTGTCTGTACTAACGTCTATTTCCTCTCAACATACACCTAAATCAAGATTTTGAGATTATACGCTGTCTTCACTTGCGTCAGTGCTGAGGGTTGACATCAGAAGTCTAGAAAACACATGAGGGCCCCAACGGGATTAGAGCCAAAGGAAGAGAGTCCATTTTCCCTGTGATGGTAACAGTAAATGAGTCCACTGGGTCCCGGCAGCCATTTTGCTCCTATTGGGTTACTGGTATATTATCCAGCATGGAAAGATACCACTGGTCCAGATCAACCTCAGAGAGGACCTGGTCTCCTGTGCTAACTACTATCCTACCTCTTTGATTCCCAGACCTGGAGCAGGGAGGCCTTTCGCTGTGTGGCTTGTGTTCCTGTCCTTGTGCTGATGCTGGCCAGCCAGCCACATCCATTTACTTGTAAATAATGTAAAACAGAGATCTAGGTCTGCGCTGCTTTTTCACCATGTTAGATTTGCGTCTATTTAACACTCAGCCCACCAACATTTTAAATAAAATTAGACATTTTCTTTTAGTTTATTACTTTAAATAACAATTACTATATGAACATAGAACTATGATTCGGAGAGATGAAAACTCAAGACAATAAATTTTTTAAAATTTGTGGGCAGTTATTTAATATACTCAATCAATGCTAACATTCCATTGAAAGTACACATTCTTACAAACACTTGCCCAGGAATGTTTACAGCACCAGTATTAGTATTAGTCAAAAAGTAGGAGCCACTTAGCTGTCTAACTGGTGAATGGATAGAAAACGTACCATGGTCCTTCTCACCCAATGGCATAGCAATGCTGAGGCAGACAAAACACAGATGCCTCCGAGGTCACTTGGCTCTGTGAAAGCAGACATGCGAAAGGCTCAATACCGTGTGCTGCCATGTATCCCACGGAGGGAAAGGCACGCGAGATGTTGTAGAAATCTGCCTACCGGCACCAGGGGAGGTGCGTGAGGCCCAGGGACCCATTCTGCTTGTTACTGATGCTCTGTGACAGGGCAGCAGCTATTTGACTTGTGTTAAAACTCGTGGGACTGTATGCTCTGTGTTATAAGTTAGGTGGAGTTCACGTGGACTATACACCTTTAAAAGGGGAAGGATTCTGTTTGTAGGAGGGGCTTTCAAGGACCCACGAAAAATGGAATCAAAAGATGATGCAATTTCTGTACAACTGCTAATATATTCAAACCACTGAATTGTATATAAATTACGGCAATAAAACTGTTTAAAAAATTTTTAAGATAATACAATTTTCCCATGAACTTTTTTTTGAAGCTCCTCATAAATAACTCAGTAAATCTGGCTTCAAATAGAAGCTTCCTCCTCCCATTGTCTCTCAGAAGCCCCCACCCTCAAAGGATGCTAAGGAATGAAGTAAAAGTCCCATCGGCCAACACGTGTTCTGATGCTTATGCTAGTGCCGCTGTGTCCATGAGGTGCCACCAGTAGCACCTGGTGCAGTAGACTTTGGTTGAAAGTTCCTGTTTATCGAAGGTTCAGGTAGAATTCTTCTCTTTGGGTCCTCCCACTTTCCTTTCTCTTCTGAAGAGTCTGCTGCTCAGTGCCCTCCTTTGCTGCCTTCATCGTCCTGCTTTTGTTCCGCTTTCCGCTCTGTTGCCCTTAATCGATAATGGATGCTCATGCCAATGAAGAGGAAGATGCCGGCAACAATGAGGATGGCACCGCTGGCCCAGTAAGTATATTTGTAGTCTCCATACACATCGGTGAGGCCACCTGAAGTCAATAACAAAAGAAACTGTTATGTGGGTTCTAAAAAACCAGGTGTATACTCTTTCCTAAATAAAGTCTAAAGATTCACTGAGAGAGGGCCCCCTATGAGACCACCAAGGAGCCCTAACAACAAAACAACGGCCAGCTGCACACCTGCTAACCAACAAGCTAGGCCTCTACTCCATCCAAGACAGACCTGGTAGCTTGTTCCCAGAGCATTTCTAGCCTTTAAAACCCTGTGGGAAGTTCTACTCTGTCCCATAGGGTTGCTAGGCGTAAAGAAACTGATGAGATGGCACATAACAATAAGAACTGTCTTTGCAGTCTCCCCCAAAGGCAAGTTGCACCTCAAAATGTAGGGATAAAGGATCATCTTAATTTGCAACATCACACTGACTTAGAATGACTCTGTGTTCATCAGAGTGGAAAAGGGCCTAGCGACTATCTAGTTCACGTCTCCTGTTTTATAAGAGGGTGGGCTGGTGCCCAGAGAGATTTAGAAAGATTCTTCAAAATCACACACCTCTTCATATCTCGTTGCCAGAACCCCAGACCAGTGCTCTTTCCCCCTTTCTCAGAGAAGACTGCTCTCAATTGTCCTTTACTCCTGCTACTGCTACAGGAATAAGGAAGCATTTAAAAGCAAGTTTGATTATTAGTGGTGTCCTCATCTTCCGGAGGAGGGAACGGAGGCCCAGGCTGAATGAATGATTCTCTCCAGGAAGCCTGACTCTCAAGTCTGTCCACTCCCCCCTTAAGGGACTCCACTCCAGCGCAGCGCAGGAGAGAATGCATCCGCAGTCGGCCTGTCGTGTGTGCGGCTGGCACAGGCGGAGGGGTGCTTTGCTCTGTGAGACGCGCGGCTGCCCTGAGTGGGAGGGACTCGCTGTGTCGTGTGTGCGGCTGGCACAGGCGGAGGGGTGCTTTGCTCTGTGAGACGCGCGGCTGCCCTGAGTGGGAGTGACTCGCTGGTGCAGAACAGCATATCCTATTGCTTTCTCTGGATGCACATTGAAATCTGAACGGTCCGAGGGGTCATGGAGTCAAGAAATGCATAGACTGGACTCAGCACTTCATACACTTACAATGACAGGTTTATATACTTCTCTTTATATCCCAAAGATACCATTTTTGTTAAAGTAAAATGCCACCTTCCACGTGTACAGGACTGAACAGAGCCAGTTCAGGCGCGCATGCATGCTGTTCCGTCATGCAATCCTCATGCAATCGTCATGCACTGATGCTGCCCTACCAGGTGCCACACGTGGAGCCCTGCTGGTGCAGCGGTTAAGTGTTGGGCTGCAATCAGCATGGTCTGCAGTTCAAAACCACCAGCAGCTCCTCGGGTGAGACCGGGCTTTCTACTGAGTCAGCGTGTGCCAGGCACAGGCAATGATAGGGGATGCTGAGGGAACAAGGAGAAGCTGGAATCTCTGCCTTTACATCGCTCGCTGGCCAGCAAGAAGAAAGATGTTAATCGCAAGACTAGAAAAGTCCAAAACAGTAGTTGTGACAAGTGCTACAAAGGGTCATTTGAATGCAGAACTTGGGGATGTGACTAGTGCGTGGGGAGGAGGACACAGACTGACTAGGGGAAAGGGGAAGGCGAGGAGCCAGGCACTTCTCTTCCTTGCTGGGCGGTGCAGCAGTGAGAGGCCGTGTGGTGTGCGCAGGCTGAGGGAAGCCAACAGGGCTGCTAGGGCGGAGCACGCAAGAGCCAGCCAGGAAAATGAGGCTAGAGAGGCAGGTGGCAGTGCAGGCCACCCAGTCAAGGCCACATTAAGGAATGGGATCCTCACCCAAGCATATTGGAAAGTTACTAGAAAGTTCTAATCAGCTGGGATATCAGATTTGCATTTGCAAAGATAGTTCTGGCTGCAAACTGATAGCAGACCCCCTGTTCTGGGTGAGGGTAAATCAGGCAGGAAGCTATTGGAGAGGCTCAGTTAGGAGACTGGGCCACATTTTCCTTCTGCCTATGGTAGGGAAATAGGCAAATATCAGAGATTTGGGGAGTAAAAAAATGACGGTCGAAGTTGGCAAATCATTGGCTATGGGAGGGAGAGAAAGGAGGAGGGAGGGGAAGTTCCCCAAAGTTCAGAGATCTTTTCTGTATCCTCCTGCCTCTACAGTGTGTCATTTCAAAAGCACCCAGAGAAACCCCAGGTGGAGCTATTTGGTTAGGCGATGGGCGGTTAACCACCATGGTTCAAACCCGCCCGCTGCTGCTGAGGGAGCAAGATGAGGCTGTCTTTGGATAAGATTTACATGTCAAAATCCACTCACTCAGAGTGAGATTGGGGGACACTTTTTCAATGCAAAAAGTTCTATTCTTAGGGAAGAAGCCATCACGTTTTATGGTCATCATCTACTAGCAGTCCCATCAAGCTATTGCATTTCGAATCCTCTAGTTCTTTATATAACAATCCTACTCACGAACGTGTGAGAGCTGACTAAGTCAAAGCCCTAAATCTTTTGAGCCTGTAAATCTTTAAGACATCAGAAAGTCTCAACTTTCCCCCAAGGAGCCGGTGCCGAGTTCAAACTGCTGACTTTGTGGTTAGCAGCCCAATGTGTAATCCATTGTCCCAGCAGGGCTTTGTGAGAGATGCTGGGCTATGTAACATAGGGAGGACAGTCCCTGGGGCCCTGTGCGCCCTCACATGGGAACCGTGGTGGTTATTTTAAATGTTACTACTCATATAAAGTCTATGATTAAAAAATGAAACCATCTCCACTACTCTCAGTGTACCATATACACTCGTGTATAAGCACATTTTTAATGTGGTTTTTGTGGTAAAATTAGGTGCCTCAGCTGATATTCAGGTGGGCTTAACCTCAAGTACATACAGTATATATGACCATTTTTCTACAATGTCTTATGAAGAGAAAAAAATGTGTTTTAAAGCAAAGTGAAATTTCATAACAATATTCTATTCCCTTTTCACTCTATGGCTCAACTTAATCCAATTCTGTCAGCACTGAGCAGTCTGTTCTGCCGCACCCAGCATTACGCCAGTGCGGAGTGTACAGGGATGAGAGAGACCTGCTCAAGCATGTAACTCTCGACTCTCTATCACCTGCCCAATCCTGTGCGCTTGTTCTGAGATCCCAGCACCACGGAGGCAGGGGGACATACTGTACCTAAAACTGGTGGTCCCAGGAGGATAGGGCCGCATTCCAGAATGGTCACTAGTCCCACGGCGCTGGAGAACCTCTGGGATCCAACGAGGTCCATCAGCGTTTCAAACAATACTGAGCTGAACCACCCAAAGGCAAACCCAAGGAACCCGGCGTAGAGACAAACCTCCATGTAGCTGGTGGCTAACGGCACCAACAGGTGACACATCCCATTGGCAATAATGGCCGCGGCAAAGAAGTGCTGGACATGCGGTCGGACCCATTTCGTGTTGGCCACAAGGCCCATGCAAGGCCTGGCCACGATATCCACAAAGGACATAATGGAAAGAAGGAAGGCGGCGTGTTCACTACTGAAATGCTTGCTCTTAGCATAATTAGTAAGGAAGATTAAAGGCGTGGCCAGCGCAAAAGCCATTAGCAAGTTACCGGCGAGGTAGAGCATGAAACCTCTATGAGTGAACAGAGCTAAGTCCAGAGTTTGCTTGACTGTTTCGAAGACGGATGGCTTGTCCTCTTTGGGCAGGCCACCATTCGGATCTGTATTTGCATCAGCAGCATCTTTTCTTGCGTCCCATTTTCCAGCTTCCAGAACGAATGCCTTCGTCTTTGTCTTCTCAACATTGGTAGATTTGGGTCCTACTGGTCGCATCAGGGATCCAGCCACACAGCAGTTTAATAGGCAGGCCCCGAGAATTAGGAAGCTTCCTCTAAGGCTGAAGGTATCAAAGAGAACCTGATTGAGAGGGGCCAGGACGGCAAGGAGCACAGGGCTGCCCGTCATGGCCAGCCCATTGGCCAGTGGTCGTCTCTTGTAGAAATACTTGCCAATCATGGTGAGAGCTGGATTCAAGTTGAAGGCCAGCCCAAGGCCTGAGGAGAGAGAGAGAGAGAGAAAAGAAAAACTACTGTGGTTACTTTCAGAAGAAGTCTATTAGTTATTAATTAATAAGGCAAAGGAAGTGAATGGGAATGGATGAGATCATCACGCGTCTCTGAGGCCATTATAACCAGAAGAGCTTTAAGTGAACTATTGTCATAGAAGTACTTTTGGACAAGTGTCTTATGCAGCAAATGCCACATTTACAGGTTTTTTTAGCTGTAGCAACAAAAACAGTAAACATTTGAAGGCACCCAGAGGTACCATTTCCCCCCTGCAAACGCTAGGGGCCCAGCTCTATCTTGACACACACTGGGGCTCCATGAGTGGGTTGGCTTGAGGACTATTCATACTCTGCAGCTCAGGTTTGAAAGTCCCAAGATCTGGCCCACACCTTTAAGCCTTACCGCAGTCTACTCTGTGCTAATCTTGTTACTGCCCTTAGGCCTTTGGCTAGCAAAAAAAATCCACAAAAACTAAAAACCTCAGAGCCAACTAGTTGATTCAGACTCTCAGGGACCCTATAGGACAGGGTAGAACAGCACCTGTGGGTTTTGGAGACTTTAACTCTTTGCAGATGTAGTAGAATGCCTCATCTTTGCCCCAAGGAACAGCTAGTGTTTTCAAATTGCTGCCTTTCTGGTTAGCAGCCCAATGTGTAACCATTATGCCACCAGGGCTCCTAGTTAGACTAGCCATTCCCCTACTTTTCCAGAAACCTAGCTCCTTGTCATTCAATTCTCAACTCAAAGCCACTGTCCTGGAAGATCAGTCATTTAGGGACTATCTAATCCTTCCTCATCACAGACAAAAAACAAATTCTCATGCCTTCTTATAGCAACTCTAGAGGGCAGTGTAGAACTGCCCCGACGAGTTTCCAAGACTAGCTCCGTATGAGGGTAGAAAGCCCAGCCTTTATCCTGCTTCTCATCACATTGCTCAATTCTTGGCTCTGGTATTTTCGTGCAGCCTTATATTTTCTTATTTATTCACTTATTTGTTGAACTATTGTCTTCTTTCCACAACAAAAGAGCAGAAAGCTTGCCAAACGTGTTGACTTTAACCCCATAGAATGACGCCTGGCATACAATGGGGACTCTGTTATTCACTGCATGAATTCCTAAGTGAAACAGGAACAAGATGATTAACCACGCAGGAACAAGTACAATTATATTCCTCCCTTGGTTGTTCAAGTTTTCTGGTATAGTTAAAATATTTAACAGTAAAAACGGACTGAGTGAGAGCATAAATCCAAAAAAATAACGCCCAGTATGACCACCTGGTATATTAGAAGCAGGACGGAAGGCACTAAAGAGCCTTTGTGAAAAGTAATTTGGCCAATATTATCAAAAACATTTCCCCACAGTAATTCTACTGTGACACACTTACCTTAAGGAAATAATCATCTTCAGAGATGTAGGGAGAGGCACTATTATACAAACATTGTCTATGAAGAGTGAAAATGATAAACCCCTCAACATGCAATCAGAAAGTGGTGGAATCAGTTATGGTACATGCACACAACAGAAAAATACCAGCTGCTGAAGAATATGTGTGGATGGGCAAGTATGTGCATGATGTATGATGACATTTACAAATGGACTGTAAGCATCATAATCGAATCTCTTTTGTTCTAAAAAAGTATATGTGTGCATTAAAAACACGAGTCGACATAATAACAAAGTATTAATGGTGCTTAATGCAAATACAGGTAGGTTAAAATTTAACATATTATCATTTGTTTTCCCGTTGGGCCCATGTTTAATTTGTTCTAGTTTCTATTATTTTGTGCCCTTTTTTTCCCTCTCTCTTCATATCTCTTAGCTTCCTATAGAAGCGACACGAGACTGTGAGCATCAAAATTATGATGATAAACAACACAGTCAGACGGGAACTTAAGCTATGTGAAATGCATTTAACCCAAGCACATGGGATCCAGCCTCTTTCTATGCCATCCACCATTTGTTTAATTACCTCAGCTAGTGGAATGCCTTAAATCCACCCTTGAATGTATAGAAAATATCCTTTTAGCTAAATCACATCTAATGAAATGTTTCTCTTAAACCCTTGTAAATGTTTCCTAATCAAATCCCTATTATGCAATATCTTATTATATGGGTAAGGAGTTATACAAAAATCAGTTATATTCCAATCACATTTTAGCATTAACTGACAAGCCCAAAATCTTGATCTTTCAGCAAAAGAACAGTCTGTTGTAATAGTCCAGTCACTATTGTATAAAATGTTCAGTTATGATTGATAGAGCCCCAGAGTGTCCCTTAGATGGCATCCGCAATGGAAGAAATATCTCAGCAGGCAGCGATCGCCATTCTCAGGAATCTACAAGGTCTTGACGTTTTGAATAACTTTAATAGCAGGACAGGGTCAGGTCACGCATCAGCTTCCCTCCTTTCTTCTGGGCCTTGCTGGCTGAAGAGAACCCACCTCTCTTTGGCCTCAGCCCTGCTTGGTGGTCCACGCGGAGATGGGAGACCAGAGGGCAAGAGAGAGGGGAGGAGAAGGCGGACAAGGGGAAAGGAGACAGGGGAGCGAGGGCGGGGGAGAGAGAAGGGGGAGCAGAGAGAATGGGGGCGAGAGAGCTTTGTGCTTTCTTACATGATGGTTTTTTAGTTTTAGTATGTCGTTGGACTTGTTTTATGATTTTCTTTATGTGAACTCAGGATAGGTAAACTCACAGAGACTGACTAGATGAACAGCTCCTTGGGGTTCGGGCAGGGTGAGTGGAGGGACACCGGGAGCTAATAATGAGAACAAGAAGGAAGCGAACGTTCTCACGGACTGTGGGGACGACTGTGCAACACTTGTGACTGGATTTAAAGCACTGAGTCGCATGGCATGTCAATTGTCTGTCCATAAGACCGCTTAGCTCTGAACTGCGGGCTGTGGCGGACCTATCATCTTTCCACTCAGCAGCAGTGCCACATTCGTATTTAGCTACTGGGAAATGAGGTTGCTCTCATGGTGGTCACGACTCGGGACTTGATCTGCTGGCAGCTGGCGTGGCTTTAGTAAGGGCTCTGTCTGCGCCCTGGCAAGTATATCTGACCCTCCACCAGTGGACATGCACTCCTACTCCAATGGGAGCCAGCTCTTCCTGGGTGGGAGGGGCAATGATAGGAATGGTGGGTGATGAGATGAGCCCCCTTTCAACAACCTTCCACACGCCCTTTGCTGTTCACTAAGGAAGGAAGGAGAGAAAGGAAGGAGGGAGGGAGGGAAAGAAAAACTCTTCCCATTCGTTCATTCAACCTATAAAAATCACCTATGAAGGGCCAGAATTTTCTGTAAGGAGTTGCTTTCCTGAAACGCTTATACAAAACGCACGGCCATTGAGCTGTTCCAATTCGGGGCGAAATGACCCAGTGCCATCAAGTCGATGCCGACCCAGCGACCCGACAGGACAGGGTAGGAATTACTGTGGGCTTCCCAGACTAACTCTTCATGGGAGTAGAAAGCAAACTAAAGAAGCAATGTCATTCCTCAAAAGAACTAGCTGATGGGTGCTACGAGTAGTCCACACACAATAAGAGCATTGCTGGAAAATGAGCCAAGAGCAACTCACCTCCAATGACTCCAATACACAGGTAGAGTTCCTGCACGGTGCTGCAGAAAGAAGCTGCAATCAAGCCACTGCCTGCCAAGCAGCCACCAGCCACCATGACGGGCCGACTGCCGTATCTGTTCACCAGAACACTGCTGATGGGGCCTAGGGGAGAAGCAACCACTTAGTGACACGAAGAAAAGCCCAATCCCTCTCTTACACAAACTGACATAAAAGGCACCAGACAGAACCATTCCCTGCCCAGATCAACAGAAGACAGTGGTAGGAAATACTGCTTTCGATCACTGCCCGTAGTTTGGAGTCAGAGATAGGTGTAACAGGGGAGAGCGTATTGATCATGCAGCTTCTATACTCCTAGAATACAAATGCTGAATAGGTTTTAACTGCAATCTATCATTCTTAGTCTATCTCTTTTGAGGCAACAACAGACTGTAACACTCTGTTTGTAAGTGATGACAGAATCCTTTATACATACCTATAAATTATCAATCAGACAACAGAGCACGCTTTCTGTTTCCAACTTTTGGACATGTATCAGGAACAAAGACAACATGGATGGATAGGATGAGATGTATGAAAACACTCGATCAATCATCTAACTTTAGAGTAGACTTTCACACTGGCTAAAATATGTATATGTATTCTTCCATATAAAACTAAAACAAAACTACAAGACAAGAATGCCTACCATCACCACTTTTCTTCAACATTCTACTGGAGGTCCAAGCCAGCGCAGTAAGACAGGAAAAAAAGAAAAGGTATAAAGAATAGAATGGAAGAAAGCAAACGATTAGTATGTGTAGAAGATACACTCATCCAGCTAAAAACGCTGAAAGAATATACTAATGAACTACTGGAAACAAGAAGAGTTTATGAAGCTTACGAGGACACAATTAAAACTCAAAAACCAACTGCATTTCTACATACCAGTGCAACAAAAACAGATTCAAGTTATTCTTTCTAGATGGTGTTTTATAATGCTCTGGCTGGCCTGGTGGTGGGCGGCTGAGTTGGGCTGCGAATCATGAGGTTACAAGGTGAGCAGTTCGAAACCACCAGCTGCTCCGTGGAGAAAGACAAGGCTTTCTACTCCCATAAAGAGTCAGTCTTAGACACTCACAGGGGCAGTTCTATCCTGTCCTGTAGGGGCGTTATGAGTCGGAATGGCAATGAGCATAGCAGACCCAACAGAGTTCACAGTTGCTATATAACTTCTATGCTTGGAGGGGATGAAAATGTGACGATTGCATAGTTTCAATAACTAGCATTCCATTTGGAACATTTGTTTATCGAGAGGGAAGACAGATGGGGTTTTCTACTCCCATAAAGTGACAGTCTTGGAAACTCACAAGGGGCAGTTCTACCCTGTTCTATCAGGTCACTTATGAGTCAGCATCGACCCAATGGGCGTGTGTTCGGTTTTGGTTGGCTTACTGAGAGAGTAAAGGGCAGGCCTTATCGGGTACTTACCTCCAGCATACATGACAGCGAACATGATCGAGGAAATCCATGAAACCTCACTGGTGCTGGCATGGAATATACTTTCAATTTCTTTGAAAAACACAGATATCGATTTGCCAAATGCACAAGAGAATCCGATGGAAATGAAAGCTCCAAAAACCACTGCCCAGCCCCAGCCTCCGTCTGGGGTGGTGTATCCAGCAGGATCTCCTTTTGAGAGTGTCATTGGACACAAAGGTAAATTCCACTCAAATCCAAAGATCTGAAGGAGCTGAAATTATAAAATGGCACGTCATGTACCTTGTAACCAAGCACCTCCACAAACCCTCATGCACTTAGGTGCCGATGCCTGGACTGCTTGTTAATGTTACCTGTGCACTGGGAGTCACGGTGTCGGCCTTAGGTGCTTGTTAATGTTACCTGTGCACTGGGAGTCACGGTGTCGGCCTT